TGGCGTGAAAGTACTCACCACCGAATGCCGACGTTTGCGTACTCTTAAACATGATGCTGCAGTGGTACAGCCGACGTCACGACCAATAACCCCAGTCCTGTTATGGCATTGAAACAACCCACTGTTATGCATGAAAAAATCCGCTAGCATCGCGTTGGTCCTGTGGTGAGTGGCATTATGCACGCTTCTGTCCATTCAAGAAGTACCAGTACCAGACAGGTCATCGGTGGGGCCAAAAAGAGGGCTTCTGTCACCCAAAAAGCCACAGTACCCAAAATCCCAATGAGCGTCAACAGTTCAACCAGCAACACAGTCAAAAAGTTGCGACAGTCCAGATCTGTGTTTACACCATTCCAAGTTGAATTTAGCCCCGAAGGAAATACGTTACAGTTTTCAACAAAATTCAAATTAATCTGCAGCACGACACAGCTTCAGATATTATGTTCCAGTTGGGAGTTGATAGGAAAATCTTTTGTGTCGTTCATGAGCTATCGGGCCAAATATGCATCTGGCAGTACCCGAATACTGAATGGCAAGTTAGCCTGTAATGTGCTGTTCAACAACTTGCATTTCTCAGGATTTTGTTATCTCGCTGACTGTCCTAATTTGAAGATTCTTGGACTTGACTGGATTGAGAAACTTGATCTTATCAATATACGTTTATGATCTATGTGCAGTGCCCTGAAATTTCCATCCTTCTCGCTACTAGCACACTCAAAACAAAATTCGACGGTGTCTTCCAAGGTGGCCTTGAATGCTGTTACAAAGCCAAGACAAGCCTCAAACTCCAACTCGATTCCTAGATCAGGCGTCCGATACTACTTGCCGTTATCGCAACCGTGGAGGGTGAACTTGTTTGTTTTCAGCAATCCGAAATTATCCAGCCAGTATTATATTCATCCTGGGCAGTTCCTATTGTTGTCACCAAAAAAACAGATGGCATGGTGCGCATATGTACTGATCCTTATATACGCTGTGTTAGACTCTCACCAATAACTATTACCGTTACTAGATCTGTTCCCCAAGTTCAATAATGGGAGATGTTTCGCAAAGCTGGATCTCGCTGATGCTTCAAATAGGTCCCCGATGAATGTTCGACAATTGATACACATCTTACTTCGTTTCAATATAACCGTCTGTCATTTGGGTAAAACCTGCACCAACATTATTTCAACAAACAGTGGATGCCATGCTAAACGGTTTATCACGAGTTGTGCTTATTTGGATGACATCGTTCTCACTTTTGCATCATTTGCATCGTACAATGGAACAATTGTATCAATATGGTTTTCGTCCACGTGCAGAGAATGTGCATTTTTCTCACATCTATCAAATATATTAGATTCATTTTTGACGAAAATGTTCGCCATTCGGATCCATAAAATATTTCTGCCATGCAACAAATGCCAGCACCGACGGATTTAGCAACCTTGTGCTCCTTCCTCGGTTTGGTAAGCCAGTACAGTTCATTTTTAACAGACGTACATCTTGTCCGTGAATCACCTAATCATCATTAAAAAAGGATGTTTCTTGGACCTGGTCACATGAGTGCCAGCCCGCTTTTGACAAAGTAAATCACTTGGCAGCTCTCATCTGCTATTCACACATTACAATCCAGTCCTGGACATCACTTTTCAGACGCATCCAACTGTGGTATTAGAACTGTCATCTCCCACTTTTTCGCTGTCGGAAATGAAAAAGCAATTGCTCATGCAGCTAAATCTCCAACAATTACCGAGCGCAATGATGGCCAAAAGAAGCCTTAGCGATAATCTTCGCCGTTAAGAAATCTCATAAAGGTGCTTTGTAGACGTCATTTTACGCTCATCATCATAAGCCGCTTCTCGACAGTTTTCGGATCGAAAAACGGCATCCCTGTTTACACAGCAAATAATTTGCAACTTTGGGCTACGACTTCTCCATCCAATAACAGTCTACTGACGCTATTGGCCAAGGTGATGCATTATCAAGACTCGTGGATCCTCATCGTCAATAACCTGAGGATGCTGTTGTTGCCGCAATAACGGCGGAACTAGAAGTTAATGCAATACTTTCTTCTACAATCCGTGAACTTCCAGTTCTGCCATGGTTCGCGACGCCACTGCTCGTGATTTGTTACTTTAAAGGGTACTCCATTTCCACAGCGCACACGGGTTTCCAGTATGTTACGATAAACCAATTTAACCGTTCTGTCAACGTCGATCCTCACTCTCCGAGGTTGATGATTGCATATTCCTTGCAGAACGGGTAATTGTGTGCCCGGAATTACAGAGTGATGTCTTTAAACAATGTCATTTTGAACATCACGGTATTAACCTCATGAAAGCGCTAACGCGTCGTTATGTCTGGTGGCCAAGCATGGATATGCAGTTAGAAGAACTTGTACGCAAGTGCTTAAAATGCCAACTATATGCAAAATCCCCTCGGAAAACATAATTATATTCATGGCCTGTCCCAGAAACTCCATGTTCACAACTTCATGTTGATTTTTCGGGATCAATCAACGGCCAACAATATCTCATCGTAGTAGCCGCTTATAGCAAATGGCCAGAAGTGTTTAACATGAGCCGTATTACTACTTATGCTGCCATTTCGAAACTGCAACATGTTTTCAGCCACTTTGGAGTTCCAAATATCATTGTTTCTGACAACGACAGTACATTCACGTCCGCTGAATTTTTAGCTTTCTGTCAAGAAGATAGCACACAACATGTGCGATCACCACCGTTCTACCCTCAATCAAATAACCTAGTGGAAAGATTTGTGGACACTTTCAAACATGCACTCTTAAAACTCAAAGGTGAGGGGACCACGCCGGAAACCATCGGGGCATTTCTGCTAAGTTACAGGGCGACACCAGATGTTAATGTTCCACGTGGTAAGTCCCCGGCGGAGGTACTAATGAACCAAAAGATCCGCTTAATTGTTGACGTCATCCGTCCAGCACCACATTCGCCAACCGATAGAAACACAAATATGGGAGTTCAGTTCATCAGACATCACGTTGATGTAAGTAACATATTTACACCCGGCCAACCTTTGCTAGCAAAAGAGTATCGTGGTAATGTGGAAGAGTGGACACAATGTGTAATTGTGCGTCGTGCTGGAGAGGCCGTGTATGAGGTAAACGTAGGCTCCTCTATCTTGGTCCGTCATGCCAATCACCTACGCCCTTCCAGCGGCAGCTACATTCGATCCTATTCTTTCACTGGAGATTCTTCCCGACACATTTGAACTAGGTCAAAAGCCACAATCTCTGAGCCGATGGATGAACCAGTAATTTGCAAAAGTTACGCACCCAGAAGATGAACCGATCGAATACGAAGGCCATCATACCAATGCAACCCAACCCTCAGCAGGAGTCCTACGATCGAGTACTTCAGAGGGGAGATGTTAGGAGCATTGCCTCCAAACGAACAAATCCACTTTACTAACTGAAGCCTCTCACTGACATCCTATTAGACAGTTAGCTCTTTTTATATTCTGGTTCAGTTGAATTCCATATCACGGGACGATCCACTTGTTTGTAGTACAACTTCCTCAAAGCTGTTTATCATAAGAGGTAATGAGACACTGCCAGGCCGCCCAGGTCTAGACAGGAGCGGAGTTGAGTTCGAACCACGGACCTTTCGGGTAGTAAGTTCGCGCGTTAACCACTGAGCTATCTCGTGCTCAGGTAGTTGGATACCCGGATAAGAAGCGAATGTAGTAGTTAAAAGACGCATACCTAATTCCGTTCATGTTCTGGTGGTCGATAACCCCACAGCCGATGTGTACGCAAAACCTAATTTCGTGGATACGTGTCCTTCGGTGCACTAATGGGGTCGAAATGTGAAGACTGTTCACTATAAGGTTAAAGCTATTCATAAAACACCGGATACAAACAAGCTGGGTTTGGAAGGGTAAATGGCTCAGGTGACGACAGATAACACAAAGGTTCAACCAATTGCCGCATTGCGGCTGACGCATCGGAACTCATGCAGTTCGAACACAACCACACATTCTCAACCCTATTTCTACACAAGGAGCCAGAACATTCCAAAGTGCCGTTTCCCGAACTACAGTTTCGAAAATGACCACCGCCCTATTTGAACAGGGTCCCATCCCCTAGTTATCTGAGTAAAAAAAGATGAAAAGCAGACAGTAAAAAGGCGAACCGGGATTAGACGATGAACCGCACGAAGAGACTGGACTTTATCGTGGTGTGACGGTTTGCGCACCTCAGCGATCCATTGAGCTATACTGGGGATTGTCCCCGTGACGCTCAGAGTCTCTCATGCCAGGTTGGTCAATGGTTAGAGGTCCAACGAACACAGTCTCCTGGCCCTCCAGATTGGGGGTTGGAACATGTGGCGACCTGTTCCGTAGAAAAGGTAATGCATTTGCATTTCCCGCCAACCACCGCTGCCTTGCGGTTAGGCTTTTGAGCCAAAGGCTTTGGTTGAGGACCCTAATCGTCCTCCTGTCTGTGTGTGGGTGCCCTGGCAGTATCCCAGCCCTCGTACAACCATGACATTCACGACTGTACGGCAGTGAAGTGTTGAACACTGATGTCATGCTGTCGATGATGATGATGAGACGATGAAGCCGCTGTTCGATAGCTCCCGGAGGTACTCGCTGATTTCATGTTGAGGTAGATCGGAGACAGCCACCTCATAGTGCTCCTTGGATGGATTTCATATTTACGGCGGCAAAGCATCAATGTTGAACACTGATGCAATACTGTTGATGATGATAAGGATGACAAGATCGGTTACTGGTGCTAACTGGTTGGCCTGTGAAAGCACGGTCTCTGCTTCATGATTATGACAACTGCCGGAACCGCACAAATGTGTTGACTCTCTTGGAAAAAGACAAGCGGTTTCGATGCGCTTGTCAGATTGTTCGACGGCACAAATCTGTCGATCTAGTTGATTGCTTGCGTCGTTTATTGTCGGTCATCACCATATTTTCAAATTTTTCCGTGTCGAAACCGATCGCATCTTCGGGATCTCGCGAAGTAATGGGTCTTTCCTCTCCTTTCTTACAGTTCATTCGCTCTTTCGTTTTTTCGTGATATTCATTCCTCTGCCTAACAATACTTACACGCGGATGTCTGACTCTGACCACAACAGTTCGTTTGAAGTCGTAGAAGAAGAAGTATGTTACATTTTTCCTAATACTCGACACTCGTTCGTTTTAGACTATTTCTTTAATTACAGGTAGGACTTCCGAGCCTATGTGACCACAACAGTTCGTTTGAAGTCGTAGAGGAAGAAGTATGTTACATTTTTCCTGATACTCGATACTCGTTCGTTTTAGACTATTTCTTTGATTACAGGTAGGACCTCCGAGCCTATTGGGTTGGCAGTGCAAAATGGAACCGAGGAGTCCCCATTTACTTTGACACATTTTTCTCCTTGGTCATCCTCTCCATTTTCTGGTGTTTTGATGCCATACTTCATCGATATTTCATCGTTTAGCTTTAACACCGTTTCGGTGCCTAGCTGCCATGCCACCCGAAGGGAGCACAAGTTCTCGGATACTGTCGGGTTACCCAATCCTTGGCAGGAGAAGTCGAGATGCAGATGGCCGAGTTGGACACGTAGACATTTGCGGCCTTTGTAGGCCTAATTAAATACACTGATGTAGCTATAAGCAAAGAACTGGTGTTATTACCTACCACAGATTCAGTTCCGTTCACCAACTGCAGTGGTTGGAGAGCGAATTTACTGACCAGAAGGTCCGTGGTTCGAACCCGACCTCTACCTCTCGACCTCTCCTGTCTAGGCTTGGGCAACCTGGCAGTACCCCAGCCCTCGTGCTTCCTCCGGGTGGCATGGCAGTTAGGCACCGGAAGGGTGTAACAGCCGGACGGTATATCACAACGCAAAAAAAAAACAAGTATACCCCAGCTTAGGCCGTGTAGACAAGAGCAATATGGTAACTCCTTTTGTCACACGAGTTTCATTATCGGGTCTTCTGGGAGGTTCGGATTTTTTTCTTCTTCTCCCTTCTAAGTTCCACCCAACGGTAATCTTGCATTATCTTGCGTTATCTAAATTCCGTCAACTCTGATTATAATTGAGGCATATTATTGGGTCACTTTATTCCAGTACGTAAGTACGATGGTTTGGGTCGCCGTAATTTGTGGCAGCGAATAACACAAAGGAGAAGGTCGTAAGTGCCAAAAAGCAATAAGACAATAGGATTGTTTGGTTGTTGAACGTTACAGCTTGCATTCGATACGCCTGGACATCTATTTCATGTCTTTAAGCCATTATTTAACCTGAGATTTCTTTCAGAGAGCTCTATTGAAACGATTGGGCATGACCGGCTGAACGAAACCGAGTCGGATGGTGTTTGGAATGTGTGCGTGTGCAGCCATGCCGTTGGACCTGATAAAACTGACACAGTTTCGACCCCCGATACGTCAGAACATTCAGAACGCTCTTGGGTTAAGACACCGAGCATCATTGGGACTCAGACAGAGTGAGTACTATCCGAATATTTGCTTCCAGCTTGTGCTGTTCGCAGAGTGAGGTACATCCACTTTTGCGCCCCGTTTATCGATTTGGAACTACATTTTTTGCAGCAGTTTTAGGAACCATTCTCACACAACCCTAGGGATTTCGATTCTCTAATCTCTTGTCCTATCTCCGGTTCTGCCTTCTCACTTCTGAACCTTCATTCATCCAGTTTTTAGAATGAAGCCTTACCTTGGGTTGCGATTGGGCCAATTTATATCTTACTCATCCGGAGCGGTGCCGCCAAACAATCCATGAGGTTATGTCCCCCTCTCTGACCCTTTCACAACCACGCGACTTTGGCCACGGCCTTGGTACACCTAAACTTTGAATACCAAATGTAAAGCCATATCATCAGAATGCACCACGGAGCTATGCATCATCTGCAATTTCAACACGCACAATACTAACTGGATTATTCTACGCACTCCTACTCAGCACACCATGAGGCAGTTTTTCGTTTCCCATCCCCAAGAACTTCGAATTTTTAAGGATGCTTCACCTTTCGCTGACTCTACTAATGTTCTTCAGGGATCGAACTTAGAGTTCGGACATGCGAACTTCCGACATGGGTGTCACTGTTACCTGCCTGCCATTGACCAGATCTAGCGAACCCGAATCCCTTGTTGATCAACTGAAGGCTGTTTATTTTGTAGTAGAGCTTTATCCCTAGTTACACTATGCTCCAGCATAAACGGGCGAGTATTCGTTCACTGAGTTCGTTGTCTATATCTGTACGTCTCCAAACAGGTCTAACTACCCAGAAAACGCCCTTGTTCTGCGTGCCCCACTTAGAACAGAGCGTGCAAAACTACCGTATCGACGAACACGGAAACGGCCTGGCAAACAGCTCTCGTTGAGCGAGCCGCATGAATCACAGGCTCTTCCGGTGATCACTGTTACTCATGGCTCACATGGTATGTGCTCATAAGTGTCTGCTACGGACAAGCTTCGCGGATGTCTGAACTGTTTCAATGTTTAAGTACTACTCGTCTCTCGGTTCGTCTGTGATTATATTTTTCCACAAGGAGGCTACCTTTTCAGTACGTGATGTTTTACTACTGCACTGTTCAAAACTGCAATATAAATCTGATCTTCAAAGCCTCCCAGGCTACCAGGAACCAACTTGTTTGGTCGAGAGATAGAACTTTCTAGACAGACGGCGATTTCTAGAAAAAGTATTTTTGTATGCCCTTATTCACCTTGTTATTGTCACTCATAAAATACGGAGGATACATGAGTAAACTTTCTAAGTCCTACTTGGACCGTTTGGATGGTGCACTTTCTAAGTCCTGAAACTGTTCTGGCATCGCTTGCTTCGCCAAGGTGTGCAGAATACAACCTTATCTCGGTTCCGTTTGTAATATCATCGAGCAGGGTTCATAGTTTATACACTGTTACCATTCGTATTCTTCTGAAAGTTGGTAGTCAGCTGCTCCGTCCTCTCGGTATTCTGTCAATTTATGTCAACTTGAATGGTCCGCTCGAAACCTTCTCCCAGTTGACTTTATTTAATGAGGTTACATGATACGTGGAGAAGAGAACCTTCCAAGTGAAGCTCAGTTGTGGTTCTCGCCAGTAGATCGAAAACTGCAAGTCAGTAAAAAAACATACCAGTCGTGAACACGATGTGGCTGGGCGATTAAGACATAGAGCTGCTGGCCGAAGTTTCTATGGTTCGAACCTTGTTCTGGTTCTTTAGCTGCTTGTGTCTTGTAACCTTACAGTGTCAGTATCTCAATCTTCGTGCATCTTTCAGGTTGCATGGTCCGTGACGAGTCATTTTCCCATAATGTTAAAAGCTTGAAAGCTAGAGGCAGCTCATTGGCTAAGGTGCAAACATACTTAAGGGATTCATTCGCCATAGTATAGGGGTGGGAGTAATCCGCACGGCAAATCGAAAGTTGCCATTTATGATAGCAGCATTCTCCCTCAGAAGCCATACGGATATATATATATATATATATATATATATATATATATAGGTATGGATGTTTTCCCACTTACCGCTCTCATAGAGCTGACTGAGCTTTTGTGTTGTCTGACCAAGACGAGTAAAGGTGACCCCATTCTACATTTTCGTTTATGTTTCTTCCCCTTTTTAGGGAAACTTCTGTTGGGCGTGATCTGTCTATTTGGATTAGTAATAGGTAGGTCTGTGTCATTTAACTTATTTGATCTCAACACTATTTTTAGCCCTCCTCTACACAGTCTTTCGACAATCGGTAAGCCGTGCTTCAATTTCTCTGTCCATTTGCTTGGATTGCTCATATTTGCTTGTTCGCCGTCGGAAAACAAGCATGTGTACACATTTTGTCTTCTGGATAGTGTTTATCCACGGGGACTTTTCGCTACGTTCATTTTCTAGGCACCTGATGTGCGCACACTTTTGGGCCACAACTCAGATGTTTTTCCCGCGGTAAACAAGAGATACTACATCTGCAAAAGTTTCGTCGGCCATGTCACGTGACTGAGTTGGCTAAAGAGACCCTGCGCGACACTGCACAGCCGGTTTTTTACATACCGGTGGTCACAATGCGTGCTCTACCCTGGAGTCCTAAACTCTTGAGATTAATGAAGTAGTTAGCAGGTATAAGGACTTACCAACTCAACTCTTTCAGCACTCTGATGTGTCTCCCCGATTTATTTATTCAGCAACAGATATCACTTTTGGAAGGGGAACTTGCCCGTATGCGCTTGCAACACGAGACGGGTAAGTCGTTGATACTGTGCTCCGTTGGCCTTCTTTTATCATATATCCATCAATCATACGATGAAATTACCACCTATGTTAAAATACAACCAAATACAACGCTGCCACACAAAACTAGCTGTGGCTGACAGCCTATGGAAACCGTCAGTTTTTCCAGATATGTCATTTCTACTTGAGGAAAGGCCACGCTTGCAGTGGCCCCAATAAGCTGAGGTGTACGAAATATGCGTTTTTCAAGAGTGGCATCATTTCAATTTATTCCTGTGTTTTCATACATCTGCGGTAAGCTGTGAGGTCGTTTAATCGTGTTATTCAGAACCCTTGGTATTGCTGATCACGGGTCCCAAAAAAGTCTCGAAGGTCAGACACTATTAGGTGGAATACAGGGTTCAACTATTTGCATAACAAACAGTTCGTTGCTTTGGAGCGTGAAAAAAACTTGCGTTATCCAGATCCCTCAACCACAGTTCATTATTTACGATGATTGGTGGGCAAGGACAGGATGAGAGCTTTTACCTGATGGTTTTAAGTACGCACACACAGACGATAACCACTGTTGATAGTGTGCTTTCCCGAACAGCTTTAGATCATTTCGGCCGCGCCGGACCTGGGTCGACCAGACAAGACACGATTGCACCTGTCGCATGCATCACAGCTGTACTCAGCAATCCTTTTGACACGTGCTGGTTTGTTCGACTGCCGTAGTTTGTGGGACATTTGTGAGTGAGTGGGTGCTCAGAGTAGTATCATGGACCGGAAACTTGTACTTTGATGCTTGTGTACTCAGGGCGGATATTGTGCGGCATCGAGACATCAGTGTTGAAAAATGATATAATGCTTTCCACGATGATGCAGTGCGGATGTTGCCAGTCTTACCGCCGCTTTGACTAACTGCTGCTCCTGGGCCGTTGGATTATGAAAGCTTGGTTCTGATTCAGAGGTTGTGATTGCTGTTGCATACTATTAGCCGTAATACCCTGTCGAGCGAAATATATCAGTGTTACTTCGGTTACCGATCCAGAAATTATGTAGCTATCAGCGCAGTTGTGTGCGACAGTTATTGATGCACGCATCGGTCTCCGGCCATTAACTGTCCGCTCTGAGACATGTGAACAATGTCGCTTAGCCCTCATCTCTTGCGCTTATATCGGGTTTTTTTTATAACGATCGGATCAATTTCACTCCAGATTTGCACAGTAGCTTGAAAACGTGGGCGAAACACAGTCTTAGACCTTCACAGACCTGAGCTAGGCACGGTGCTGAGCTCAGCACCGTGGTACTGACGGCTCATTAATCACCACATCAACTACTCCGGATTTTATTTTTCCTGGACAGAATAGTCCCTATGGAAATGTTCAATATCAGTTATCTAGCTGAGCAAATTCATTAAACTCAGGCACTATCGCCTTACGTTTTCACAACTTGCCGAAATTGACTGCTTGCAATTTCGTTCACCGCAGTCCGTTTTCCAACAGAGCTGATGAGCCCAAACCAGTATCATGCTTCCACTGCTCCTCTTAAGTTGATGGCATTAAGATACACTTAGGTTGGTGATGTTAGCCAAGGCGGACATCGAACGACTAAAGCGTGAACACATTCTCCCGTTCAGACATGATAAATCAGGCGAGTCTAGTTTGCGCTGATAGATTAGTGGTAACACGCTCATCTCGCATGTCAGATTTCCGGAATTCAAACTCCGGTACGAACAAGGATGTACACTGCTCCAGAGCCCTAATAACAGCGAAACTGGAGTCCACTGCTTCGCCCCTTTGGTGTGAATTCACCAGAATAATTGCAGCATGGCAGGAGTGGACTGTTCAAACAAGAGTTACTTGAATGTGAGTGAAAAGCTGTAACTTAATGTGGTCTACCAGGATAAAGTATGACGTCGACGTTAGTATCGTCCGGTTTTCGTTCACCCATATTGTGATGTTTCACTGGACAATAGTATTTGTTTTCCTTTCATCGATAAATCAGGCGAGTCTAGTTTGCGCTGATAGATTAGTGGTAACACGCTCATCTCGCATGTCAGATTTCCGGAATTCAAACTCCGGTACGAACAAGGATGTACACTGCTCCAGAGCCCTAATAACAGCGAAACTGGAGTCCAGTGCTTCGCCCCTTTGGTGTGAATTCACCAGAATAATTTCAGCATGGCAGGAGTGGACTGTTCAAACAAGAGTTACTTGAATGTGAGTGAAAAGCTGTAACTTAATGTGGTCTACCAGGATAAAGTATGACGTCGACGTTAGTATCGTCCGGTTTTCGTTCACCCATATTGTGATGTTTCACTGGACAATAGTATTTGTTTTCCTTTCATCTGGGTTTCTCATTTCCGGTCGGCAATATGAGCTGTTCTTTTGGTCTACCTTAGCACCACCTACGTTTCACCTACTGTAACTGCACACCACGGAGTGATTCTATGCAATCCACCACACATTCATCTCTAGAGACCAGAAAGCAAAGTAGTTAAATTGGCGAGTTTTCGTTTTCGAAGCCTTCGGAAATTCAGATTAATCGGTCTAGTGAGATGAGTTGTTTGGTGATCTTTACGGTTTTGATATCCACCTTTTGACCCTCAGTTACGGTGACTACGTAGTATATCGTTTTGTTGACGCGCCATTTCAGAAATGCTAACCCTCCTCGCACCGGAACGAGAATCCTCTGGCGGTTCAGTAAAGAGTCCAGGGTCATCCGTGGATCTGGGCGGCTAACTCATTATGTGCTCTTGGTTACGGCCGATATATCTAGGGAGGGCAACTACCAAAGGGCTAGCTTGGACATAACCCCGTTGACTCCGGTGATTGGAACTCACTACGGTCAGGGGTGGAACTCTGCATTAGAACATCATCCTCATTACTTTTGAAGACTGACTTCACCGCCGATTATACTGAACCATCTCCAGCTTTGCTCTCTGCCCTTCAGACCGATCATTCCAGACTAATCAATCCAATCCTGCTGGATGCTCATATTGAGCTACAGGTGAAATGTTCGTGACTCGAACCCACTGGATTTTCGGTGGCTCCTGTCTAGCATCCTGCAGACTGCTAGCACCTTGTGCTACTTCCGAGTTGCTTGAGATTTTGTTAAAAGGGTTCTAAAGTTGGATGCTTTGCTTTTTCAGTCATCTGATGATATAGTTTGCCCCCGGCCAAACGAATCGAGATGACCGATTATATCGAAAATGCTCGAACGATTATCTCAGCATCCCACCAATCTCAAACTAAGCAAGATTTGGGAGAGTGGGAATCCTTCTCTGTCGACGCTGTCTTTAGGAAAGCTTCTGGAGATTCCTGAAATTCTACCTAATATCCTTTTCGTCAGTCTCCTAGTCAGCTCATCTTGTTCCTACGGTTAGTTTGTTTAATCAACTCAACAACTTGTGTCCAGTTTTATGTCCCTCCCATATTCGCTATCTATTTTCATTCATTTCTAACTGCAGAGCTTCGTCAGGAGTACGAAAAACACGCTGAACAGGATACAAAGTCTCGAGCTCTCATACTTGATCTTCAAAAAGAACGACATCAACTTCTTAACGGTGAGTACCCACGAAATGACTCCTCGTTATGCGCATATTGAGCGGTTTCCATATGTTTAAAGACAGTTGTTCATAGCCATGTGGGTTCAGATGTACAGCTGTTTTACAGACCCAGATAAGTGCACACTTGTCACAAGTTTGTACTCGTTTATACTGTTAGGTTTCGTCAGGCCCATGAATGCGAGGTGGTTATTGATGACATCGCTATCGTGAAGGCTGCGACTTTGACTACCTTCTTCTGTTTTCACACCAATACTTCTCGTACCTTTACGCTGCATCAGGCAACAGCTTCGCATATAAAGAAAAGCGGTTTTGTGCACTATAGTTGTCTCAAGTTGATACTTCATTTCATGCCAGTACACATATAGCCAGTCGGTAGATAGGTGCCATGTGGCCTGCGTCAGACTAAGTACCCTTGGACAGAATGCTGTGGACTGGCTTTATTTTTCTCTGTTTGTCGCTCCTAAAAAGGAGGTCACGTTGCGCGGTAGCCCTCTCCCATGGAGGTCCCTCCAAAAGAGTAGGTCTTAGATTGACGAAATACTTCCGTTGTTCACTGAGTTGGTTGCTGTGTTTAGTATATGATATTAGTTCCCTCTGTCCGTAGGTTTTTCTTAAGTCCTGACTTCACGGTACTAGGCTCACTGGTATCCATGAGCCCACCTAACTTGTACTCGAATTCATGGCTCTTGTTGTAGAGGTATCTGTTCTAGAGATCATACTACTCTCGCTTTCATCTTGGTTTTGCAATTCTTTCCACCTATTGGCCCTAATTATGCACTCTTTATTAAGACCTCCAAATTCAGTTGGAACGACAAGCAAGTCGTGAAACGCAAGCTCGAGAAACTATTTTGGAGCTACAAACTGAGCGAATGAAATTGATGGACAGTAAGTTGCCGTGGCATCTCAATCATTCTTCTTGGTTCACCTCCGTATCAGCTTCCCTGTATGGATTTTGTCTTCCAGAGTCCTGCGGGTGTAGCTTCAACTGGTCAATTTAACATTCGATGTTAGTTTTTTGAATGCTCAGTTGATTTTAAAGGGTCCATCTGGTAGTATGATGGTATTGTGAAAAAAATGGAAATTGTCAATTGAGATTTCGTGCTGTAAGTAAAACCGGTTTAAGTTGAAGAGCCGAGAAGCATTGTACGGCTTTTCATCCTTGTTTGAATCATCTCACGAAACTCAAGGAGGTTTCGAACCAGCAACAGCATAAATTGGCTTTGCTCACAGAATGGATGAAAATTGCCAAATTTCTTCACCCTCACATCAGTCTATAAGTGGCTCAGAGGAAGAATCATTTCACAAGATGGGTGAAACCTGCTAAGAATCTGCCATTCGAAGAGCCAGTCAATGCATGACCAAGTGATGTGATTTGGATGACTGAATAATGACTGACGTCATATCCTATTTTAGTGCGCATTAATCACACTACTGATCACCGGCTCATGGCCGAACTGCTAAGTGTTCAAGCCACTGTCTGGGAGGTCACTTGTTCGAGATTTCTTTGAGCTTCCTGAGGTGCGCACTGCTGATTGTTCCCAATAAGGATGAAACAGCTGTACAGTCCTTCTAGACTTTTCAGCATAGATTAGCTTCGCCTGCAGGATGGAATCTCAATTGAAAATCCGGTAGTAGCTCCGCTTCATCCAGCGCTTGACAGTTTAATCGTACAATACTCATGTTCATGCCAGTGCAATTGTTCTCCGTGATCCTGTCACAGACCCTGGTATCCATCGTGCGTGGTTTTGATAGGACTCGTTCTGGTTTGCTCCAATTGATCTTTCCAAATACACAAAACGAGTGGATTTTCCACTGAAATCTCAGATTATTTTGTGTACTCCAGCGGTTCCTGTCACAATGCGTGATGGAACATACATTATCCGTTAAGTAAACTGACTAACGTGAGGTCTTCTTAAGGAGTATGTTTGGAGTAAACATGGGTTAGTAACCAAACCGTTGTATGTATGCTCACCTTTGAATACAAGGGGTTCAATGAAACAATGGCTCGCAAATGGGGCAGCATACTTATGAGATTAAGCACTGTTACCCTTTTTCCAACATGTTCTCCACCGTCCCTCGTAGTACAAACGTTCAAAAAGCGGACAGACTTGTTCGTTTAACTACCTCATCGTGCGTATCCCATTTTTATTTTCTCCTTATTCCAGGATGAAACCAGCGACTTCGCAACGAGTTGATTTGCAAACTCGTGTTTCTTAATGCATGCAACACCACAAACTGCGATAGCTCAATGTTTCCTAGGTTTACCAAGTTTTCATGCAGCAAGACCAGTGTTGCGGCCTGCTATTCCTATGTGCCTTAGAAAAGATGCCTGTTTGCGTGGTATCTGCTCGGCCTCACGAGAAATCACTGCAGATTTGAGGGCCCTGTTTTATTGATGGGGAATAACCGGTGATTCGGAACACCGAAATGTCTTACGCCTCAACCGATTGGTCTGTGTGGACACCAGTTACATTAATACAAACGATTTCTAAGTAGTAGCTCTCTTGTCACGCAGGTTTAATGCTGAAGTTGGACGAATCTTTGTAGCCTAATTGTTCTGTAGTAGAAGTTTCCAGTTGATGCGCGGTGGCTTACTGGTATGCTAAAAGAAATCTGTTCTGAGAGTGGACTTCAGTCACAAGCAAATGACTAGCAAGGTAGGTTCAGTTCAGCATCTAAAGTGACCACACTCAAAAGCCACTCCGTCACCGTAGAAAATAAACCTTGTTTGTGTTTTGTTACATTTGAAGTTATCCTTGTTCCAGTCTACTGGAACCGCCAGCTGACACGCGTTCCCTTTCGGTGCTCAGAACGTTGTTGGTAGTCCACCACTATCGCTAGACTACGTGAACCATAAAACACGGTAACTGTTCAGGAGAGTGGAGGAGCGCAGGACACAACTTCCATGCCATTCACGTTTCCCGTTGGGGAGTAGTAGGGCTGGGATTACCAAAATATCCTGGTCCCTTTTGAGGCTCATGCATTTTTTACACCCCTCCAGTGCTAACTTTTAGGGGAACTGTACAAAATGTTGTCTTCAGAGTATTTTTTAATGCTTGGATGGGAGAAACACTGCATCTACCGGATAAAATAATGGCAAACAACATGCCTGTTCATGTTCATATACATTCATTCCGATTTACTTCATGCCTATGAACATTCGTTCTTCCAATAAGGTTGTGGGGTAGATGACTCATATGACACTCAAAACAAGTGCACGTGTTCAGACTTCAGTCTGCAAATACAAATCGAAGGTCATTTGGGCCTTAAATTATCAGGACGCAGGCACAGCAGAAACACTGTGTCCTACTTCATCATCATCATCATCATCAAGGACAGCAACATCAGTGTTGGCACTGATGCTTCACTAACATACAACCATAAGGTTCGTCTAGTTATATATATATATATAATCATATTTAAAGCCCTAGAGTGAAAAGAAGCGGAAAGGAAAGGTGAGTTAGGGGACCTAGTGCTGGCTATCTCAAGCATTCTGAGGTGCCTACACCTCCAACCGCTCAATCAGACAATCTGGGAACTGACGGCACGAACGCCACTGACATCGATTAACCGCCCTTTCTTGCAACGTCCCCAGCCAAGCACAGGTGTGGTCACTGGGACCCCATCCTGGAAGCCGCACAACACCAACAACATCAAAACTCTTCGTGATCTCTTTCACGCTCTTCTGCTTAGTTGTGCGTTGTCCACCTCGCAGTTTGCGCCATTCTGAAGGTATTTTGAGTAACACTCGTAGTCGGTGTTTCGGTGTGTGTACCACATGACCGAGCCAGCGTAGTCGGTGGTGATGGATTCTTTCTCGGAGTGAAGTATCTGCGGCACAATAAAATACTCGTTTTCTAGTCACCTCGTTACTAACACGCTGCAGCCATCCAAAACCAGCAGGGCTTCTGAGGCATTGGTGGTCAAAAACCTGAAGAAGCCTCACATCATCACTCCGCAAAGGCCATTCCTCGCACCCATACAATAGAGGTGAAACATGACTAACCTGGTCTCAAAGTCTCTAAATTCCTGAAACGTTTATTTACGGTATTAACTCGGCAGGAGAAGCTGTTGAGTTAGGATTTCATCAAATGCACGTAGCAATGCTCATGCAGTTTAGGTTTTAAAAGTCAATCATCATAGTGAATCTTCCTTATTCCATCATAGTTGTCTATTACGAATGAACTACGCACCTTGCTCTGTGTTTGGATTACGCTCTTCGATTGACTATAACGCACATGCAAGTGCACTTGTCGGATCGATATGTGATCGCTGCACTTCCGAATCAGCCGGTAAAGTTAGTAATCTCGCTATGAATAGAACAGCCGATCGCCTATGGAGTTTTCTACTTACCTCAAGTATGCCAAAATCAACAATGAAACTACATGAGGTCCTGCTCAATATTACCCAAACAGGGTGTGAAACACCGAGCAGCTATGTGCGCACAAAAATTCAGTTTTGTTAGTTCGCCATAAATAGTTCAAATAACGTTTGGATTAATACACCCTGATGCGCAGGTCGGGGGGGGGGTGAGTATCATGACGTACCTGACCTGTAACCGATTTTGTGGGTACGGATAGAACCAGAAACAAAA